AGTAGTGGTAGTAGTAGTAGTAGTAGTAGTAGTAGTAGTAGTAGTAGTAAGAAAAGTAGTATTATTAGTAGTAGTAGTAGTGGTAGAAGTAGTAGTAGTAAGAGTAGTAGTAGTATTTGCAGTAGTAGTAAGAGTAGTAATGGTAGTAGTAATGGTTGTAGTAGTAGTAGTGGTAGTAGTAGTGGTGGTTGTAGTGGTAGCAGTAGTAGTACTAGTAGTAGTAGTAAGAATAGTAATAGTAGTAGTAGTAGAAGTGGTAGTAGTGGTAGTAGAAGTAGTACTATTAGTAGTAGTAGAAGAAGTGGTATTAATGGTAGTAGTAGTAGTAGTAGTAGTAGTAGTAGTAGTAGTAGTAGTAGTAGCAGTGATAGTGATAGTAGTAGTGGTGGCAGTAGTGGTGGTAGTAGTAGTAGCAGCAGTAGTAGTAGTAGCAGCAGTAGTAGTAGCAGTAGTAGTAGTAGTAGTAGTAGTAGTAGTAGTAGTAGTAGCAGTGATAGTGATAGTAGTAGTGGTGGCAGTAGTGGTGGTAGTAGTAGTAGCAGTAGTAGTAGTAGTAGTAGTAGTAGTAGTAGTAGTAGTAGTAGTAGTTATAGTAGTACTTGTTGTAGTATAGTTGTTGTGTTCCGATGCAGATACCGCACACTCTCCTACCCCGCATTGGCCCCCTATTTCGGCAGAGTCAAGAAGACCAGAGGCGGGATGGGATGCAGGCGGATGGCACGACAAAAACCCGCATCCCAGCGTAATACCACTATCCCTGTTCCGCAACGTACACTCGAGAGAAAACGGGACGACTGCGATCGCAGTTGCCGCCGCCTGAGCTTGCACCTGGGCGTGCCACCACACCCTAGCCCCCGATGTCGGCGTTTGTTATGGGGGCGGACTCGCAGTAACGCCTGCTGGACCCCGATCTAGGCCCATGTGTTTGTCCGTTTTAGGGACAAACACCCAGACACATTCACACACACGCGATAGTTCGATTTTCGTTGCCGTCGATGTCCACCGTGGGCTCAACAGTAGGTTGAGAGCAGGGACGGCGACCTGCGCGCGAAATGGTTTATATTGAATGTAGACTTGCACAGCATCTACAGCACTCCCCTCCTCTCTTATCTGGACTTGGTATTAAGACAGAGCCAAGGCGAGGCAGGGCGCAGGTGCGTGGCACGGCCGCACCCGCACCTGGGCATACAACCACCTGTCTTGGTTCACAACATACGCTTGATTAGGTTTTTTCAACAACAATGACAACCATAAAAGGGCTCAGAAGGACAAGGATAACTGGGCAGCCATGTCCATCACCTGTATACCCAGCGGGAGAGCAAGCGCACCTACCGGCAGGGAACCAGGTGTCAGGCAACTGCCGGCTCATACCATGCTGCGAGGGCTATGGTTTGTTAATACTGGCCTAGCACACGCTTACAGATCTGTCGATCGAAGCACGCACACACGCATAAGGCACTGACGACACGGCGGAAAACAAAACTTTCTTTCTTTTCACAGTGGAGACAATCAGAAGCTTTTGTTGCAGCCTCTGTTAGGGGGTACACTAATCCCGAACGCTTCCCGAAGACCTGTTAGGCAAACGCCATTAAAGATATGCGTTTTAAAATTGTCCCGAGGACAGGGAATGTCCTATCGCGTGGCCGTGCCAGTTACGCCAGCTCGCTGCGTGTATTCCGTTAAGCGCTCAAATTACAGTAGATGTGCTAACTCATGAAACGTCAACCAACATTTCGAAATGCGTTCTCGTTTCGAAAAGATAAATTGAGTAGTGTTGTAAAACCACTCATGGTGCAGCATAAATCTCTAATGATCCAGTTATCTCAGGGTGTCGGCTATCGAAAGAACTTATTTTCGGCTGCATGCAAAATCTATACTCTGCAAAAAATGACTACATATGTAGTATGCAATTTTCTCATTGATTTTCGATGCCCTTGAAAATTCAATTACATATCATAAAAAACATGCATTAACATATTCATTCCTTTACTTATTCGGTAGAAAATCACCTCTACTTCCAATTTCATACTCAAAAGAAGAGTATAATTCGGTTTTAAAAAAACTTTTCTAATTCACAAATAATTTTGAACCCGACCAGCTGTTAAACTTGCATTCAGGGTTTCAAAACTACATGCTGTATATTTTCCGTGTACGGAAAACCATGCATTTCTCTACGGTGTTAAGAGGAGACCATACCAGGTTCATAAAATTAAGCAGTGGATTTGAGCAATATTGTTAACTTTACAAGCCACATTCGTAAATGCAAATACATGACGTTTTATGAACGGCCATTTAACGGTAGTAAAAAAGCTCACAATTGGAGACTTTTTTAAAACCGAATTATCATCTGCTTGTGAGTATGAAATTGGAAGAAGACGCGATTTTCTACCGAATAAGTAAAAGAATGAATATTTTTATGCAAGTTTTCCAAGGACATCGAAAATCAATAAGAAAATTGCGTGCTACGTATGTAATCATTTTTTGCAGAGTATAGATCTCGCATGCAGCCGAAAATAAGTTCTTTCGAAAGCCTACAACCTGAGGTAACTGGATCAATATAGATTTATGCTGCATCATGATTAGTTTTGCAACACTACTTAATTTATCTTTTCGAAACGAGAACGCATTTCGAAATGTTGGTTGAAGTTTCATGAGTTAGCACATATACTGTATATGCCCAAAGCACTGACAGGCACATTATGATGCGCCATCAGCGAAAAAGGCTGGATGGCAAACGGACCATCAGCGAACGATATTACGATTCACTTCTTACACAGCGGCTTGCTTTCTTTGTGGGAATATTCTTCCGGCCACCATGAAGTTGTCTGTGGAGAGACCTCCTCGGAACTCACTTCCTCCTTCCTCACCCACTTAACTTCGGTGGCAAGAAGGTGCTAAGGCGATCAGAGGGGCACACAAGCGTAACGACTAAAAGGCCAAGTAGCTCGTCTACACGTGCCACGCACACGCCCTTGTTCTTACTACGTGGCCAGGGCGATACGAATCTCGCACCGATGAGAGCGCCGTGAGGGCTACAATACGAAGAACCCATTGCTGCACGAGCCTGAGAAGGCCGCGTTATCCCCTCAGTCGGCAAAATTTCAACACAAGACTCGTAGCGCGTTGCGGTGCATTCAGATGTGTCAGACTGATGATGGGGAAGAATGAACTGACGAGCGCAGCGGCTCATGCCGTCAGTACTTGTGGACTCACACGGGACCAACGCAGTCCGATTAGCGCATGCCGTGATCCAGTCTGATCTTGTCCATCACACCTGCAACGACGTCTGATGTTATCTCCATTCACTAAGGAAATTGCGAACACCAGGTGGACTCCCTACAGATGCAAGCGAATCCGCTTCAGAGAAGAAGCACAGCATTTACCGTGCATGACCACTCTCATGAAATGTTGGCCGAAATTCCGAAATGCGTTTTCAACTGGGAAGGATTTATAAGGTTGCGTTCTTATAATAATTATCATTTAAAAAGTCAAGTTGGCGAACGCACGTTTTCGGTAATTCTTCCTCAGGCCAATACAATTACATGAACGAATGAAAATGTACAAAATCAACAGTGTTTATAGATGCCTCAAGGGCTATTAAGTCACTAACACTCATCATCCCCACGCCGCCCGCATGAGAAGGTCGGCGGGTGTTTGTCGTCAGGGCTAGGGGAGGGGGGTAAGAGAGTCTTTGAGTAATGATCTTGGGTTGAGTACACGGAGTACCCATCATCGTGATTAGGGATTTGAGGCGGCATGGCTTCATCACTTGGGGTTGGCGTTGGCGTTGGCCACGGCAGCGAAAGCGCTTGTGTCAGAGTTTTCTGACAGCATAACACCGGATTCACTAACCGTATAGCTACTGCCTCTGCCGTTGCTAGTATCCGTTGGCGTAGGCCTTTAGAGAAGCATGTTGGTGTCCGGTAGACAACCTGAAATGCTTTCTTGGCATCGACTCGGTGGTTCGTATCGATTAAATGCGCGAGAATAGAACTCGAAATCGACCGGGACTCACCTCTGTCTAGCCAGGCGGGCATATGTTCACGTACTCTCTTTACCAGGCGTCTCGTTGTGCGGCCGATGTATCCTGCTCCACAGGAGCAAGTAATCCTATAGTATTTCGGACTTTGTTTGACTTCTTTCTGACCTCCCGCAGAAACCGTGCTTGGTAAAAATGGCCATTTAGGTAGCATTCATTTTTCCTATTGGTTTTTTGATGATCTCATGAATTTAAAAATTTTCTATGGAAAACACGCACTAAAATATGCTTTCGGTTGCTTTTTGGTAGAAAATGACATTGTCTGCTCATTGTATACCCAAAAAGTGTATATTTAAGTTTTGGAAATGTTTCAAAATTTTGAATAAGTTTGAGCCTAATCAGCCGTTTCATTAGCGTTTAGCGATTTTTGTCTCTAAGCTGTACGCGTTCCGCGTAAGCAAAGTCATATATTCCTCTAAGCCTTCAAAAGGATACTATATAAAGTTTACAAAATTTCGCAATGGGTACGGGCTATGACGTACATTTCACGGGGAATATTGGTAAATGGACACGTACTCCAATATATATATATAGACATCACACGGTCTTAAAAATCTCATAATTAAAAACTGTTTTAATACCGAAGAATAACCTTTTTTTAACAATAAAATATGGAGTTTGGTTTTCTACCAGAGAAGTAGAAGCAAGCACACTTTTTGCACGTTTTCTATAAAACATATTTGGATTCATAAGCTCATCAAAAATCAATGTAAAAAATGTATGGTACAAAAGTGGTCATTTTTTTACCGAGCACGGTTTCTTTTGGAGGTCAGAAAGATGTGCATTCAGAAGCCTGAATAACGCATATTTAGGCGGAAATACACAAACCAAGGACTGTATTTTTACGAAGATCGAGTTGGCAATGCACTAAGTTGAATAGTTGCGTTTTCGAGTAACGGTCGCATAAAGGGTGATAAGAAGTTAGATAGTCAGTAAATGCTCGCCGAAAAATTCGAATTACTTGAACACCGATTTAGCTTCGGTCTCACTGTCAGCATTAATAAAGAAAGCTGATTTGGCTGAAAAACAGTAGACTAAAATAGATGACCCCTCTTGGGATTACACAACGTGATAATGAGTCTTTTGAAGTCACCTTAAGTGGTCGCTTCAAGTTATTAACAGGCCGTAAAAAGTTCGGCCACAGTGGTGTGGGTTTGTGTCCATCACGAAAGTGCTAATAGTCAGCCGCACCCCCCCCCCACCCTCTTTTGTCTTTCGAATTCTCCACCATGACTGATGCCCCAATTAGCAAGTCAGAACGGGCAGTCCTTATCGCTCCGCTCACACAGACCGGTTTCCTGTTAGATGTTTTTCAAGGCTGCGAATAAGGTCAAGGATTTATTGCAGCCAATTAACTGCGCGGACGGTCAACAAGGCAATCCGCGGCCTGAGAGCAGCTGGCGATGCACCAAAAACCCATTTAAATTTCGTTCACTTTTCTTGTGGCGGCAGCCGCGCATGGTTTCGGAGCAAAAGGTCAGTGTTCCTTCCATTATGCTGATGATTTTGCCCCGCCTGCGCTCTCTGGAAGCAATTTTCTATGCGACTCCGCGGATTCAAACGGTTCCTCCACTTGAAGAAGGAGACACGATCGCCGGGACAACGGCTTTAATAGCCTG